TTCAGCAAAATAATGTTTCTTTATTACATAGACTTAGACAATACTTTCGGAGCAGATTGGCAAGGTCTGCAATATTGACCAAAATAATGTATTTAAAATAGCAGTTCATCTGATATTTACACTTGAACAGTTGGGATATAGTTTTACAGTATATAGATATTTTTCTTTTCTTATAAAGCAGCCTCGACATAAGCGTTATATGACACTAAATACAAAGACAACATCAAGTTTTGTTGTGATGGAAGCTGAACATCAATCACTTCAACTAGACAATTCAAATGCCTATATAGTAACACAGAGGATACCATTCTAAGTATGGACACAAAACTTTAACATATCACAATTGCACAGGGTTTGTAAAAGTAACAGAAAGTCAGATAAATAAGTTAAAGGAAGTCAGGCAAGAAAGATAATTAAAGCTTCATCTCCCACACCACAACATGTGCATCACGGTCATTAGCATGGGAGCTTTGTTGGCCCTCAAACATATGCCTCAGATTAACATACCCTCGCCCACCCATTAAGGTCATCAGTGTTCGAGATGGGTCCCCTTCTTTTCGACGGCCAGTTGTGGCTGATCTGCTAGTTGTGCCAACATTTGATGCATGAGTTCCTGAGTCACATGGAGTTGTGGAAGAAGTTGCTGTCAGGATACTGTTCATGCCCCCACTGCCATCTTCAGAGCCTGAGGATGTCGTGCAAGCTGATGATGCTCTTGAGTCTACTGACCAAGTTGAGAGGTCCAAGGAACGTGGGCGTGAGGCCTTCAACCTTACTCGACGATCAAGAGTACTGACTTGTGCAGGAACCGCCAATTCTGGGTCACTACGGCGTAATGAATCATAACGAGAAAGCAAGAGGCCTTCCCCAATTACCATTGGTTCATCTTCATATTCATGAACATTTAGCAAGTCTCCATAGAGACCATAAACATCACATTCCTGACTACCTGCAAGAGTTCCCAGCCCCAAACCTCTAGGCAATGTCTTGGAAAGGCGTCGCACATGCTGCTGATGTGCATCTCGGGGTTTACGCCTCAGAATGACAGGACTGCTAAGTTGCTGTCGTAACCGTGGGGGTACACGCCTTGATGGAATGAGGCTCCCATCACTCTGCTGCTTCTCTAGTCGTGAGGTTGGAGTTGGTGTGCTTACATAACTTCGGGTATCTTCAGTGGAAGATTGAATCCTTGAACTCTCTTGTTGTGACTGGCTATGACTGTCCTGCAATGATGGACGAGAACCAGGTCGCAACTCAGGTAATGTAGCCTGTGGTCTTGCGTGAGGTTGAAGCGTTAAGAGGAACGTAATGGGGCCTCGGTGAGCATGGTAACTGATATTTGCACGACCACTTATGATTGGCACACCTTCTAGTCGTGGCAAAGGAATAGTGAGAGCTACACCAACATTGGTGCCAACCCACAGAAGACCTCGTGATGCCAGCAAAGCAGTGACTGTAATGGTTGAAGGTGCTGGACCTTTGTCACCCAAAACTCGACAAACATTGGAAGCTACATTGATGTCCTGCAGGTGTCTGAAAGTTTCAGTATGGTAGAGGCAGATGGTCGCAGTCTTCTTCTGAGCAATCCATAGTCCAATTCCAGAATGAGCCATTAGCTGAACTCCACCAGCACCTTCATGATGGACCGAGAACTTTTTCTGCAAATTGAAAGTTAATCAGTTTTGAGAAATGGTTGAACTTTAAAGTTACCATGCAAAAAATAATTATTTACTGATGTACAGTAATCAGTTAGCAACATACTACTAATATAAATTTCAATCTCTTACAAAACTTTTTATTCAATATTCACAACAAAAGGTGCCATAAAAGATATAGAAAAACTTACAGTAACTTCAGCTGTGAAGCAGTCTATTACATGAACATGGTCCCCACAAGCAGCATATACATGTGTGTTTATGGGCAGGAGAGCAGTCACCCCTTGAGTTCCTAGGAAAATGTTCAGAGGTTCTCGCAGTTGCCATGCTCCATCAGCACCTCGGCGGTAAACTTGCACACACCCACTACAAAGTCCTACATACACCTGTAAGAGAATTAGGAAAGATAAATAACTAATTCTATAATCAAAATTAATGTGATAAAAGAGAAATAAATAAATATGCATTGCCACTTATTTCTACAAAAGATAAAGCAACTGTCAAAACATTAGGATAAAACCAAACAAGGTTTATTACTGACAAACATCATGCATTTAAACCAACTATTGCCTAGGCATTCAGAGTCCTATTTTCTTACATTCCCCAATGTCAGATAAGGTAAAAATATAGTATAACACAATTATATAGTTATAGCAACAGACTATGAAGTATATTTAACTACTGCTGAATGAAATGACCTTAGAAGCTGATTACTGAACGAAAAAAGATATATAAGCTCTAAGTTTGATAGTACCATTTCAAAATCCCTTTACACAAGAAGTCTGCCTTATGAAAAAGAAAAAAGAAAACTAAAATAAACAAATGAATCAGTACACAGGTTGTTTTGTAGCGTGCAACATCCTAGATCTGAAAATTCGTGTCAAGACCACAGTTTCTATTTGTCATCCACCAGCACATGCATGCTTTCAAATATTGTTTACTAGGTACTATCAACACTTACAAAATGTGCTTAGCCATATACTGCATGTATTTTACTCATAGCTACTTGAAATGGATAGTAAATTATTGGGTTTCATTTAACTCATTGCCACCGGGGATGGCATGTACGTACATGCCATGCCCAATGCGAGTCGACT